ACACAAAAAATTTTTTGTTAAAATCGCTACCTTTTTTTTCCAAGTGCGCGATTTTCATAATTTCGCATTATTTTCTATAAAAATAGGTTCAGTTAACGCGTAAACTCTTAATCAGAGCTGGGCATATTTTAAATACTTGTATTTAAAATACAGTATTTGAAATACAATTTGTATTTTGTATTTTGTATTTCAAAAAAGTTATTCAGTGTATTTTGTATTTTAAATACAATTTTAATCTATTTTGTATTTGAAATACTAAAGAAATTATTGATAATGATTTTTGACAACAATTAATAATAACTTAAATTTTTTTCATATGACAATTGGCGACACTAATTATTTTCGTCAAGTTTCAAGCAACATCAAGTCATCAAAGTCGAATATCATAATTTCACATTAGTAAATAGATTTCTCGTGTGGTTGATACAGAATAATAGGATTGTTAAAGAGTGTTAAAGAGTAAAACAACTTTTCTTTCTTTCTCTAAAAGTGGAGAGGGAACTGTTGGAGGGGGGAGCTTAACATTATATATTATTGCAATTGAAAGATTAAATTAAAAAGTATTTTGTATTTCAAATAAATCTTAAAAGTATTTTATATTTTGTATTTCAAATCGAAAGATTGAAAGTATTTTATAATTTATAATTCAAATACTAAGATTGCCAGTATTTTGTATATTTTGAATTTTAAATACTTTAATGATGTATTTTGTCCAGCCCTGGCTGCTATATCGATGATTTATGCATATTTATATTTGCGCGCGATATTGATGTAATATTGCAATAATATGTGCTGGATATGTTTATGTTTATTACCACATTAATATCTCATCATGTACACAAACGCACCAATTCGGAGAATGCCAATATCTTTGTTTAGGCATTTAAACTTAATTTTAACGATTCACATGCATTTGTTTATTGTATTATATATACATCTGCATTTCGAGCATATAACCTGCATAACTTTTCGACAAACTAAACATTTTGGCAATTTAGCAACATTAGTCGTCATATTAAAGTAAAAATGAATAACAAAATCTATATATAATTTCTTCATTTTTGCCTACTTTTGACACAAAATATGCCAAAGCCAAATACATTAGCATGTGTGTTTTAATCGTGCACAAAAAGAATTTTGATAATTATTCACTTTAGGGGAAGCATTTTTTATAACCTTGGCATATATTGTCAAGGTCATGACCCTAGGTGACGTTTGAAAGGTTTTAGTCGTCCCTCGCTATGAAGCAAGATCCACTCTATATCGGCTTTTTCTGCTTACAGGACGAAACGAGGTTTATAGTATTCCACGTGAGTTTTTGACGTTCCACGCGAAACGAGATTTGTTCCCATTCCCCTTCTACTTACGGGACAAAACGAGATCTGTAATTGTATCATTCCGCATGAGTTTTTGATATTTCACGTTAAGCAAAATCCACTCCCATATATCTTCTTGCTTATATTATAAATTTACAATGCGAAGTGAGATCTATAATTAATTATACAATTCCTCAGAGTTAAAGTGTTTTTTTTTTAAATAATGAGAGATATGTACCTTATTAATAACGATATTGAATAAAATTTTATTCAAACCTATTGTTAATAACTTTTTAACAATTAATGAGCGACGGTTAAAACTTTTTGAAGATCATTACATTGTCAGAGTCAACCTTGACAACATTCAAAGTAAAACACGAAATCATAATAAGAACAAAATGACATCAAATCGAAATTATTTTTGGAAAAGTCATAGTGATCTAGATTTCGATACATTTTTGATGATGGTTTTGTGATTCTTGATATAAAAATTTTACAGTAATTTTTTAATTGAAGATATATAAAAAAATTACTGTAAAAAATCATTTTCATAGATATTAAGAATTTATCACAAAACCATCAAAAATGTATTGAAAGAGATTATTATGATTTTTCCTAAAATGATTTTGATTTGATGTCATTTTGATGTCATCTTAAGATTTTGTTCTACCTGGGATATGTCAAAGTCATTGGAGATGTTTCTCCTAGAGTAAATATTTACCGCAATTTTTATTCTATGCAACTAATATAACGAAGTAATTATAATTAAATTAGAAGCAATGGGTTCTAATGAATAATAGTAATCTAATGAATAAATCAAATATCGTGAAATAGCCTATAAGAGCCGACCCGGATGTTGGTATGTTAAATTCTTATTGTTACAACATCCAACCACACGCGATCTGCGCGCCGCACGGTTTGTCGGACTTGAAACACAGCTCTTTGCGTGAAGTCGGAAACTTGTAACTTATTATTAAATTGACAAACAATTTAATATCTTTCGATGCTAATATGCATCTACAAGATTCCCCTCCCCCAAGCCTGTAAAGAAACTCATTGCGAAAAACGGCAAACGTGGATATCCGGGTTCGATTTCTGGCTGGGAGCTGAGGTGTTATTTTTCGCAATGAGTTTCTTTATGGGCTTGGGGGAATCTTATAGATACGTATTAGCATCGAAAGGTATTAAATTGTTCGTCAATTTAATTATAAATTACAAATTTCCGACTTCACGCAAAGAGCTGTGTTTCAAGTCCGACAAACCGTACGTGCGGCACGCAGATCGTGTGTGGTTGGATATTGTAACAATAAGAATTTAACACACCAACATCCGTTTCGGTTCTTATAGGCTATTTCACTATATGTGACTTAATTAGTATGAAACAAAATAGTATTTTTATCGGTAAAAACCTATCGGTATAAAAACAACGCCAGCATTCCCTTTAAAAAGAACAAAAAAGAGAATAAAAGGCGCAGCATCATAAAATTTTTTATTATTCCCAAAAAAGTGGGATTGACGATGAAAGTAACTAAAAGATTTATTTTGATAGTATTGATTTTAGTTGTGTACCAAAATTAATTCAAACGAATTGATAATTCCTGGAAGTTAAATATATGCTAAAATGTATTAATATAAGAGACTCGATTACAACAAGAAATTTTTTATATTTAAGAAGAAAAGAATTTCAATTAATAAGACATTCTAATAGATTTTATAAGAAAGAATTAATCATACTCATCTGATTAGACTACAAAAATTCTGATTGGTCGATTTTCGAACAGATATATGCTGGATATGAATACCAGATTTATTTCCAATTACTGCAACCAGTTACATTTTCAAATGTGATATATCAATCAATTTTTTTATCTATGCAGTCAAGTAATATTTCTGGTTAATATTTACTTATCCGATATTATAGTTAGCTTAATATTAACATTCATCATCAATGAATTTCTGCGATGCCTATACATATTGTTTTGCGAAAAAATTACATACACATTTTTAGATACATAGCAACAACACCACATTTTATCGATAGTGTCGTAAAATAGATTTTTTATCTACAATTTATTGATGTAGCATAGACTCGAACCACTTTGATTCCATTCTCTTTACAATGATTTTATCGATGTCAGAAAATGTAGCTGTACGTAGTACCCAATTCAAAAATGGATGTACTGGCGGAAATGTATGAAACCTAATATGAAGGATTCTGAAAAAAATATAAAGAGTCCCATGAAAAAGACCGGGATAATTGATTTCAGGTTTCTACTGGTAAAGCCTTGTGAACTTTTATACCAAACAAATATTGTCGCGATTTAACAGCTCTACATGCTATATTCGACTGAGAAATTGTAATAATCTGAATTAAATTTCTTTTTATTCCTGACATAAACTCTACACTTCGCAGACACGCATTAAAAATGCGTATAAATTTTAATTCTCGACAAAGATATTCAAATCTTTAAAGTAATACGTACAAGAAGCTTTTACAAAAATTATTGCGTTCAATCAGTAAAATAAATAGTAGAGAACGTGTAAAGTATAACGTAGCAAATAAGAAATTCAACTCAACTCTTTATGCTCTTATCAGTATACATATACTTCAATTTATACGCTCATGGCAAGTGGCGCTGTTTGCGAGGTCAGCGTTTCTTTCCCACTGATGTCTCGAGACGAAGACCACTTCAAGCTGCAGTCGGACAATTATCAACTCGTCCTCTTATGGTATTACACGCCTGTTGCACGAAGTGAAACCACAAAGACCATTTCAAACTATTGCGATCACAGTTTAATCAATATTACGATAGTCAACGTTAGGATATTTAATGTTAAAGTTTTCATGGTATATACCTTGGTTAGATAATCTTATCTTTAGTTGGAAAAGCGCTCAATTTTATAACAGCGTTAGATATGTATATGTATAATAGTACATTAATAATTATTATATTAGAAATTTTAACAAAATTTTTTCATTTAAACTTCTAAAGGAAGTGAACTTAAGGTCTCAGATGTATTTATGTTTGTTTATAAAACGTAAAAAATAGTGAGGATACCATTTCAAACTATCTATACCCCGTACTATCTATATACTCATTACAAAGATAAGAAATATTCTCAAGGATGCTATTTTAGAAAAATTACTTATTTCCACATATTAACTAGAATACACGTAAAAAAATGACTTAGCATTTTTAGCTAAATATCAGTATAAGTAGTTCAAACTTTGCTATCATTGCTAAAAGTTATCTATTAAAGATTAAATTTATTTGTTGCGAGATACAATTTTATTAGCTAAAATAAAAGCGTATACTTTAACAGGAGTAGCTAAGAAAGTGGCATACGAAAAAAATGATTTTGCCGAAAAACTTAAAAGTTTTGCTCAATAGAATATTCCTCAATAGAATATAATTAATATAGAATAGAATTAGCTAAACGTCATTAATTGATTCTACTAGCAAGTATTTTTTGCTGTAGCGTTTAAATTTTAACAAATAATAAATTTAGCTTTGGCAGTAACGATATCAGCTGTCTCTATTTTAAAGACACACATTAGCTGTCACGGCCATATTTTAGTTGCGTTGACCAATTCTTTTTCTGCGTATAAGTTAATTGCCCCCTCCCCCCACACACACAATTTCGAACATTACCATAAATAATTTCTAAAAAACTTCAACTTCTTAGTTCTTTCCGAATCGTTACCAAAGCATATTTGTTAGTGAAAAAGTAAGTATTATTAATTTATTGTTTAACATTTTAACTTGGATATTATTATTTGTTATTAATTGGATACACACAAGTTTAAAACTTTGAAGCTTTATTTAAACAAAATTTTCTTAAAATAAAAATATGTTCACTCTTTACGCGATTTCAATATTTCTTTAAATTTAGAGAAAGATAGATTTTTTCCCATGAATAAAATTGCATTTCTTTTACATCCGTATAATAATAAAAATATTATTATTATCTAACACTTTATTTTGATATTTTATTTAAGCACTTCATTGGAACTTATTGTTGACTGATAAAATAATATGCATTCTGCAATGTTGATTCTATCTTTGTCTATAATAATAATGGTGGTTAATCCATTTTCGGAAGGAGCGACGAAATCTTGTGCAGGTGAGTCTTAAATAAATCTGCAAATACGCATGTTATTTCATCATTACAGAGTAAACAATAGAATTTAATACTGTGGAATATACTATGAATAGTATACACGACAGTTTCAAAATGCATATGTTACCTATTAATTAATATAAATTAATTAATGAATCACTATATAATTCTCAATGTTTTAAAACATGATAATCCAAATCTTTCTATATCAAATTTGTTATTTTTTTTTTTCAAGAACTTAATCGTAGTAGATATATATGCCTTATTCTTATATAAATTTTGGTTTTCGCATATACATACAGAAAATGAACAAAGAAAATGAGGAAAATTAAAGAAAAAACATAAGAGATTAGAAAAATTGTATTTTATTAATTTTAATTACATCAAATATAATATATGAGCGATATGCCATTTATAAATTATTTTATAACCATTAGGTGTTAAAAACGACAACTTCTAAATTATTATCTTTTGAATGCATTATACATTTTTGCAAACTCTCTCATGATTTCTGGCAACCTCAAAATATTGATAAACTTAAAACAATTATTGGTAAAATAATTGCAAACCTCACACAGTTAAAATGTTGCATAAAATCATGAGAGATTTCGGATACGTGTAAAAAATTAATAGCATGTGGAAATTTAGAAAATTGCAATTCATTTATTGTATCGAAATTTTCGTAAATGTGCCCCCAAATTAAATATTTAAAATTGATATAAGTATGTTAACTAAAATTATGTGTAACTTTGAAATTGATATGTTTCAGTTAACAGTGATTGTGCAAATAATGAAGCCTGCATTCGCAATAATTGTAAAGATCCTTGTGCAAATTTTTCCATCATATGCGGCATAAATGCATCTTGTACAGTTATGTCGCATATATCTCAATGTATATGCAAACCAGGATACGTTGGCAATCCGTTCATAATTTGTATTAAATAATAATTTTATATTTATAGTGCAAATGAAAGTCGCCGATAATGTCATACCCCTTTTTTATTATATTTCTTATATAAAGCTAAAAATAAAACTTTAAAATAAACAATTAGATTAAGATAAACAATTAATATAAATTCAAACTAAAAAGTAACTTCTATTAAATAATATAACAGCTCCTTACGATAATGTATGAAATTTGGCAATGTTTAACATTTTTGTAAGATAAACAGAAACAATTAAATGTGACAATATCGGGCTTAAAAACTGGCACAAATGAGATAGAAATGTAAGAAGGAGAAAAATAAAAATAAAATCGTTTAAAAAAACTACAAACAATTTTATATTAACAATATCATATTATTTAAAAAAAAATTATATCATCCCATTTAAAAAAGTGGAAGTGACCTTCATATCTTATTAAAGATTTCTATCGCCTAAAGAAAAAACAACTTGACCAGAATACATTCCTCTCAAAATTTGACAACTCTTGTCTGAAACATTTTTCTCTAAACCACCTCGATTTCCAAATATTTGACTGTTAATTATGAAATGGGACACTCTGTATAATTCAAAAATCATATTTGCTAAAATACCATAAGTAATCGAATTTTTTTTCCTTTATACATAATATTTAGAAAACATGTAGTAAAATTTGCCTGTAATTATTATAATATTTTATTATTAAAAGAGAATTTTGTGAACAATTTTTTAATGTTTGCTTTTGGAAGATATTTATATAGAATGATAGCTGAAAAGTTGCTGAAATTAAACTGTTATTTTGCTGTGAACACGCAGGATAAAATAAAACTTTTTCAATAAAAATTTATTTTTATCATTTGTTAACGTATACTTTTTATACTATGTATAAAATAACGAATTTTTTCCGTAAAATTAGCATTTAATTAATTTTATTTTTACCATACAAAATAAATTTTTAGTTTCAGCAACTTTTTCATTATCTCTCTGTTATCATTTCCTGTGAAGAAATATTCTAATATTATTGACTGAATTGAGGACGTTCTAAGGTATTCATACTACAGTTATAATGACCTCGAGTAAAATGACCGTAATTATATTATCGCAACAATATGCAATAAATTGCGTCACTGCAAGTGACTCATGTAACACACAATATTGAAAATATGCGACAATCTACATGGTGACGACTGCATGCTTGCATTCAAGCTAAAGGTGGTTATTTTGAGCACATTTTATAAAAGCAAGTTCCATATTACTGAAATATAAATATAAGTATAGTATATAAATATAAATATAAATATAAAAGGCAAGCTTAACTTGATAAAGAAGTATATGTGAACTTTTTATTTTTAACTATAACAGAACGCTTTTTATTTAATATTTCTCTTGCAAGCTACATCTAAAATCATTTACTTTTATTTTTCTATAACAGCACGTTGCTATTCGATTATTAGAGAATAATTTCAAAATATGCATATTTTTATTAAGAAAGACATATCTGTTTATAGCAAATTAAAATCGGCTGAAGGCAATGTATAAAATTAAGAACACAGCAAGAACGTTAGCTAGACTAATACACATAGAGTGTGCGAGTATTAGACTGCATACTGATATGTCAAAATATGACGATGGTTTTATTTTATTGCAACATGATAACGATAATTTTTTACATTATCCAATGTATTATATTGTGCGAGCGATCGTGTTATGCGTACGACTCCGGCAAAAAATCCGTTAGAAAAAAATTGATTTTTTTCTTCCAAAATATCATCGAAATTATAAGAGATAGAAAAAATTTATCATAACGAGAGGTTAATGGCTTAAAAAGTACCTTCAATCATAAAGAATTGAAATTTTGAAAAAAAGTTTAATAGCGGAGATAATAAAAAAATATTTTTATTATACTTAATTATAAAGTACTCTTTAAGCCATTAAACTTTTGTTTTGATACATTTTTGTATCTCTTAGTTTTGACGATATTGGCTTCGAAAAAAAACGCATTTTTTTCTAAAGAATGTTTCACACCTTGAGGTGATGCTAAAATGACGTCTGAACTTCATGACATCATTGATTGACAGACGATTTGTGCATATTTATATAAGCGATATTGATGTATAAGTAATGAGTAGTGATGTGTTGACATTTACTACTTACGACATCAATGTCGTGTGTGTCATACGAATTATATTTTCATATTCATCTTTCTCTTATATTAAAGCACCTATGTTTTATTAATAAAACACAGTATTATTCTTTCATACATGTAATCCTGAGACCAAGCGTGTTTTTCAAAGCACGTTTAACAAAGTTTGAAACTTTTATACGCATGAGCACATGTCGAGCACGAGTCGACTGCAGAATCCGATAATTTTTTAAGTTTAAAAAATTTTTTTATTGTTTTTTGTATCGTACAAAAATTGTATAAATTCTTGCCGTCGCACTCTCCTTTATTATTTATATTTTAATTCTGGAAAAGAATTTATTATAATTCTGTTGAATCAATAAAAAAATTGAGGAAGCGTTCCGTTTGCAATTAACAACTCGATTAAACATGTCGCGATTGTTGCACATTGCAATTAATCACATGGACATTGGTCATGTTACGACTGACAACGTTTTGCATTTGACCACGTTACAATTGACCACGTTGCAATCGACCACGTTGCGATTGACCACATTGCATTTGATTACATTGCGATCGACCACGTTGCAATTGATTATATGAACATTGATCCACATTATGATAAACTACTTCAAAAATATATGTTTAGTAATATTTTAGAATGTCGTACGCATGGAGCTAAATCTTTAATACTTTTGTTTAGAAGTTAACTAAAAATGTATTTGTGTTTCAATGATTATTTATTAGCGATAAAATTAATGAAAAGTAGAATGCTTGACAATTTTGATTACAGATTTTAAATTACAGACTTATTCGTCCAAGCTATCTTATTAGAGCCTAAGTTTCAAAATTTAGACAGTGTAAAAAAATATTCAGATTCTCAAGATACCATCCCTTTTGAGTTTTTGAAGCGACATACACATGAATATGCTGAAAATAGCGAGAATACAAAAACGAAAAATGATGGAATCAATTTTTGAAAGCAAACGGACATTAACTATATTATAGGCTTAGATAAAAAAAAAACATTCTTCCTCTACTGACTTAAATGCAAAATGGGTTGGACGAAGAATGCCACATAATATTTAGCAAACATGCACCCTTTAAAAATATTTTGGACTAATTTGGGAGAAATAGGAAACATGACATGCCTGTGTTAGCTAAACTGGCAAAAAAAGTATTA